TCAATCAAAGATTTTATTACAATAAAAATAATTCTCAAAACTAAAACATTTTTAAGTTATGTATATATTATTGGTATTAAGGTTTTGGATTTCAATTCAAATTAGATTCAATCCTAGAAAATAGCTCTAAATCAAGTGATTCATTGAAATTCATACATTTGTTCACAATTATAGTCCAATGATATAAGTATTACATAATTATATATTTTAATCGTAAGTGTAAAATAAAATTTAAGTTTTGAGATTTAAATGATAATTAGATTAGAAAATAAATATTGAATGAAAAAATAGCTGAAAGGGTTAGTGAGAAACAAATTTACAAAATTTTCTTTAATAAAAGTAAAAATAAATTTAAGAGCACTTCAAGAAAATATTTGATAAATAATTGCCAGAAATGAAAAGCAAGAATGATATAGATTTGTCATTTGAGAGCATCACATGTATTGTCAATGAAATTAATTAATATAATATATATTTTGGTAATAATAATCTATGTTTAGATTAGAAACTATTCATTTAATTCACTGATAATTAGTGTTGAGGTCTGGCGAAGGGTTTAATTAAAAACATTTTGTCTCCCTTAGGACTCGTATAAATGGGTGCCTTCTTATAGTCAAGATACTCGAGAAGATTACTCGGTTTGGAAGCGACAGGCTATGTCATATACGGCAGCAGCATCACTTGGGCCTTCACGAATAAGGCTTCGCCTCGGAAGTCACTGTGGCTTATCAGCGGCCGGATTCAGTCAATCAACAGAACATCACTTTATTTCCATTCAATACTTTCACTAAACATATCAATTAGTCATCACTTCTAATGAAAACTATTTCAAAACTAAACAGAGTATTCAATTACTCTAACATATATTGCATATTCATATTAATTACTATATTATATAACATATTGTATAAATAATCAAAATTTCTAAAAAATGACAGTAATATAAACATACATTTAAATGTAAAAATGATTAGACTATTTGATGGGTTAGTAAAAAGTAATGGTCATCTAATCTCGAGAATCAATTATATTGTGATAATATAAAGTCAAGACTAGTATTGTTTAAAAAGTGAATCGAAATATAATTATGACTTACATTGGTTTCGCTGTCTCTGATGAGGAAATCTCCGTCTTCTGCCAATTCGTTGAGCATATGATCGCATTGTCCGCGAGATATGGTTCCAAAATACCACATCTTTTCGTTGACATCCATTTTGGCCACTAATGGGACTCTAGTTTTTGACTGAATCTGTGGTGAACTGAGTCCCGCAGACACTTTTGGCATCTCTTTTTGAACAGACATTAAGTTGAATGAATCCAAGCCGTCGTCGAAGTTGTCATTAACCACTTGAACGTAATTCTTGGGGACGAGACCGAGCTCTCCGTGTTGGTTGCGGGCCTTCCACCAGTCGGGGTCGTTGGCCGGTCTCTCTATGATCTCAAGCCTCTCACTCTTCTGGAAACTGAGTTCCTCTTCATTTTGAGATTGAAATGAATACAAAGCGACCACAAAATCGAGTATACAATTGGCGTTTGAAGACGTGCTGCCATTGCTGGCCATTACCGGCACTTTGTTTCGATTGCTTTCGATATTCATTTCATTAACTAATTTTGAATTCTTTGAAAGCATTTGGTTTTGTTGATCCAAACCATTGTTCACTGAATCAGTGCTCTCTTCGTAGACATAATTGGATGGAAACCAACCGACGGCTCCGTTAAGTTCTCCCCTCCACCAGCCGTCGGACGACTTCTCCATAACCGTCACTTTGGAGCCCTTGACTAGAGATAACTCATCCGATTGTTGCGATTCGTAATTGTATTTAACATATGCTGTAATCTTCAGGTAACTCGTGGTCGAAGCGGAGCCTTCATTAGAGTTGATCCCTCTGTTGGCACTCATGTCCGGACGCGGAAGACTATTACCCGGGGATGACGTGATGTTGATGTCGACGGCTTTGGTGGCAATGGGCGACGCGAGGGGACTGTTATGGCGGTGCGAATCAGTCTTCTTGCGGACGCGTTTGCGAATGCTGTCAAAAATGGACGGCTTTTCCCGTTTGACATAATTGGAGGGAACGAATCCCGACTGATTCCGACCATTCAATACTTTCCACCAATGCTTGCTATCGTCCAGTAGTGACAGTCTGTCCCCTTTCTTCAGGTCCAACTCCTGCGACCCCTGAGCCGTGTAGTCGTATTTGGCGATCACCACTACCTCTTCCCCACGACCTCCTGTCCAAACACAACATTGCATTCAATCACATCATTACGTCATTAGTAGTCAATCAATGCCTTCATTACCTGACTTATGCTGAGAAGACATATTGTCCACCAATTGATCCGTTCAGTGATGCGGGCAATGATTTGCGGCCTAATTGTCAATCACTGATCACACAATCACTAAATGGTGGCCAAGTGTTGAGTGCGGACACAATCACTGGGATTACAATCGATATACTTATGAATGAATTGAAGACAATAATCAAGTGATGTCTTAATGAGGAGTTGATGTCTGAATGGATTCATAGGTTTTTGTTGACATTTGTTTGAACACAAAACCCATACAAACCATACAAACCATACAAACCATACAAACCATACAAACCATACAAACCATTCACTCAAACCTTTCAGTTGTATTGAGTCTATGAGTCATTAAAAGACTAATGCATTCATTCATTGCATTACTTGTACTCCAAATGTG